ACTAAAAAGTCCTTAATGAATGAGCTTTACTTTTAGCCCACCTCCATATTGAGGAAACCAAGCCCAACAAATCTTCTCTTTTTTTACTATATGGAGGGAATCATCATTCCGATGATTGAACGACAAATTTTAAGTTTCTCCCTTGATAACTTTTTTAGCTCAAAAGTATTATTTTCATACAAAGACTTTATCTCATCTTGTATGGCATCAACTTTTTTTTTGTGTTCATCTTTCGTGGTCTTTGCATAATATTCGGGTTCTCTTTCGTTAGTTAATAGCACGTACTCATCAATAAAATATTGTGTGAAAGGTTTTCGATCTCTGATAGACCTCTTAAGTGAAATTTTTGGTAAAACCTCTAATTGAACCTCTAATATTGGTGATTGTTTAAGGGTATCATCACCCACCTTAACCTGTTTAGGATTGGTATCAACATCACTTGTATTATGTTGATTATTCTCAACATCTTTAACCTCTGTAGGCATATGTGTTAGAGGAACTAGATCCAAGTCAATCAAACCATCACTGTATCATAGAGCTAATGTATCAATCTTCTGAATATCTTTTATGGTTTAGTCTTCAACAAAAACATCCCTGCTTCTTTAAAGTTTTTTCTGCGTTGGATCATAAAACTTGTAGCCAAACTTATTATGGCCATAATCGAGGAACACATACTGTCTAGTCTTGACATCAAGCTTAAACCTCTCAACTTTGGAAATATGCATAAAAACTTTACATCTAAAGGTACGCAAGTGATCATAAGACATATCCTTGCTTAATCAAACTCTATCTGAAACATTAAAATTTAGAGGAACACATGGTGAGAGACAAAACATGTACAACTATACTCAAAACCTCATAAAAAAAGATTTTAATAACTATGCTTGTGAAAGCAAACATCTCACTCTTTTCATTAATATTTTGTTTATTCTTTCAGCTAACTTATTCAACTGAAGAGTTTTAAGAGGTAACTTTTGATGTCTAATACCCTGTTGTTTGCAATACCCATCAAAAGGTCTAGTGTACTCATCCTCATTATCAGTCTTTATGATTTCAATTTTAATCCCGTCTATCTTTCAATTAAAGCATGAAATTGTTTAAACACATTTAATACTTGGTTTTTTTATTTCAAGGTATAAAGCCATATCTTCTTTGAATGATTAGCTATAAAAGTTACAAAATAGATTTAACCACTAAGTGTTTTTGTTCTCATAAGACCACAAACATTACAATATATTAAATCAAGTATACCTGGTTTTTTTTTGGAGAAAATGTCTTGAATATAATTTTGATTTATTTTCCTGCCAAGCAATGAGCATACTTCTTTAAGGATACAGTCTGTATCCCAGGAAAAAAAAATTTCTTAGCCAAAACCTTTAAACCATTCTCACTCATATGACTAAGTCAATTGTGCCAAAACTCAGTTGTATTATCATTATTTAATGCATTGATAATGGAATCAGATACCTTTGCTTGCATCAAATACAATTAGGAAAGCTTCGTATCCCTAGCTACAACCATAGAACTTTTAGTGAACTTTCATTGACCATAACAAAATATATTGTAAAACTCTTCATCATCAAACTTCCCTACAAAAATTAAATTCATGCTAATATCGAAAATATGTTTAATATTTTTCAAGACCAACGTAGTGCCATTGTTAATCTCTAAAAACACATTTCTCATACTATTGGCTTTAGTTGAGCCATCATTACTCATTCTAACATTCTCAAAATCACCAAATGTGTAAGATGCAAAGTAATCTTTTCAAGATGTAACATGAATTATGACACCAGTATCAATCACCCAACTAATCTCATAACGTGTAAAATTACAACATCATCATCATATAAAATAAAGAAGTCATATATAATAGTAGCAATTTTATCAACATCATTACCATCACCAATCTTCTTTTCTTTATCATTATCACTATTGTTGTCTCTTTTTAACTTTCAGCAATATTTTCTTATATGCCATTTCAAACCACAATAATGACACTTTACATTGGTAAATCTTTTGGATTTACTCTTACTTCTATCTCTGTTTTATGGACCTTTACTTTTACTCTTCATTTTATTTTTTGTGATTAAGACCTCATATTGTAAAGAGAAATCATATAACTTTCTTCTCATATCTTTATTCAAAACATCACTCTTAGTTAAATCTATAGTAATAATACTATTTGAGGTTGAGTTAGATAATATTATTCTAAATGTCTCCCATGAGTCTAATAATGTACCAAAAAGTCATAAGCCCTATATCTGATATTCAAACTTGATATTCAAGCTAGTCAATTGATTAATAATACCTTGATATACATTTAAGTGATCTATTATATGAGTTTCATTCTGATATTTCAAACTCATCAACTACTTAATTAAAAACAGTTTATTATTCTCAGTTTTTCAAGCATACAACTCCTTAAGCTTGCTCCAAAGAGTGCGTGTATGTATTTCTCCACTTACATAATTCAAAACATTATTATCTACCTACTGTTTAATATAACCACATACATGTCGATAAAATAAATTTCATTCCACTATTTTATTTTCAGGCTTTTCAATGGCAAAATAAGCAAATAATAATCCTTCACATAAAACAAGTCTTCCATTTTCTCTTTTCACATGTGATAATTTGAATCATTCAAATTAATCATTATACTTATATTAGTTTCCATTATTCAACACAAGACATAAATCAAATAGTCTGAGCTTTCATACTACTTTGATGAGGTAAACTAACCTTAAATAATATTCAAACCGAATATGTCACATAGTGAAAAAAATTAAATTATCCCTCTTTTATGTGAATCTAGCAGGAATCAAACAAATAGAGCTAATAAATAAACCACTAAACCATAAGCACAATGAGACAAACAATTTGCATGAAAATCCTCCTCAAAACAAAAAGTAAAAACCACAAGTAATAATAAATAATTTTCACGGGAATACAAAATTTTTTCTAGCTAGAACTAGAGGTATACAATCATAATATCTCAAGATTAAACAATCTTGGTAAAGAAATAATCTTGCAAGAGAAAATTTGAGAAGTCTCAGCAAATTTAAGGATTAAAACAATACCCACAAAATTAGTAGGTAGAAAATTTGAAATCCAATCTTCACCTTTTAACTAAAGAACAATGAGTCATGAACACACTGATAAAATTTAAGTTCAATCAAATAACGGATTAACTTCGATCAAACTACTTGATCGAAACTACATAAAACCATTTTTTCTCTTTTTTTTTTCTATTTTGCCACTACACTCTCTTGTTTTTTTTTTTCAGCCATATAAGGGTTTAAAACCTATAACCAGGTATGAAAGGACTAAAAAGTCTTTGGTGAATGGGTTTTAGTTTTAGGTCACCTCTATATGGAGGAAACCAAGTCCAACAAAGACTAAACACATCAAAATAAAGTTTCATTTTGTTAAAGAAATTGAAGATGAGAATGAAGTGAAGCTAGTCCACTTTAAGTCAAAAAACCAAATTGCATACATTCTAACCAAGGCCTTACCAAAGGCAAAGTTCAAAACATTAAGGAAAAGTCTTGGTGTTTCTAATAGAAAGCTAAGGATGAGTGTTGGTAGTTGAAGCAACTAAGTATGGCATTTCTACTACAACTTGTGCAACTTGTTCTGTAACTTTTGTAACTATTTTAATAGTTTAGGTAGCATGATGGATCTAGGTATGATTATCTCTATTGTTAGGCAAACAACTTTTATTATAGTTAAACAAACTTTTGTATTTTGGAGCTTATAAATTAATAAAATGAAGCTCATATTCTGTGTGAGCCAATTTATTGCAATACCAAATTAATTTTTTCATTTTTCTTTATTCTTCCTCTGCTCCATATCTTTCATATATGCAACATGCAAAATATTGATTAATAATTAGAAACAGAACCAGAGACAAAGCAAAGAATGTAAAGGAAATTTACTTTCATTTATTCAGAGATCCATAAAGTTGAACTGTTGAAGAGAAGGTAAAGAATGTTAGTATTTCCTTGTCCATATAGATAGGATCAATTTGCAAATCTATTACTAGGGTTGTGTGTATGTGTGTGTGTGTGTGTGTGTGTTTTTTTTTCTTTTTTTTAGGTTAAAAAACTTGGAATTTAAGTCTTATTTGAATTACACATGCAAAAGGTTCAAATCTGTTTACATGTAATCTAAGCATGTGATGTTATGTGCCGTTTCTCCGTTTTGAAGGATCCATGTAATACTTTTTTTTTGGTTACATCAGAAAGGTAAAACTTTAGTACAAGTAGGGGGAAAAAGAGGATTTGATTCAAAATCAAGTCTTTGATATCCTCTCAAATATCTTTAATCACTAGACTAAAGGTTTGGAGACAGTCCATGTAAAGCTTGCTCTTATAAAAGAAAAAGAAAATTTCTTTGTGAATTGAACTTTGAAAACTTAACATTCGATTGGCTCACGAATTCTTGGTCTCCTTCAAAACATAGCTTCGGGCATGCTACCAGAAATTAACAGTTCAATACCAACCGTTCAAGCCATTGGTGTCCTTTGACCTTTTGCACACCTTTTTATGAAAGAGTCATGCACCAACTCAAAGTGACGGCAAAGTAAAGAGACAACAAAAGAAAAAGTCAAGATAAATATAACTCTTCACATGTCACGTTCTCCATGATATATCCAAACTTCAGAGACCTAACCCTCTAAAATCAATTCGTCACGGGTTTGACAAACTTTTTACTTGCCTTGCCATAATTCACATTCACTACCATTATTCACTGTTCACCAGAAAACCAGTTTGACATCTCCCTTGAGATAACCAGGTTCCTGGCTATCCCGGTGATCCCATTAGCAACGCAGCAGGGCTTTGATCATGTCATCTCAGGGAGTGCAGCTAGATATCGAAGAGAAATATGTATAAACTTTTGTTTCTTACTGTTTTGTAGTTTCATTTTTGGTCAGCTTCATAAATTTAGGCCAAGTTCCTTTCCCATCCTCCAGTTTGGTAAGATTTTACTATGTGCAGGTGGTGATGAATAATGGCATACTGCAGGTGACAATATCAAATCCCTACGGGATTGTCACTGGTATACAATTTAATGGCATTGACAATTTGCTTGCTGTTGAAAACAATGAAGCTGATAGAGGGTACAAAATTCCTCTGCTCTTTTTCTTTTCCTTTTTTTTTCTTCTTCAATTTTTTGTGCAGGGGAGAAAAAAAACCAAAGTAAAAGCCTCCAAGACTCTGACATCTTTATCCCCCTACTTTCTTCTATTTTCTTTCTTTTATAGTTTATTTCTCTATTCACTTCTTTCAAGATTATGGAAATGTTTTTTTTTTTTTAATTTGTACATGGGATTAATTTTGTGATTGAGTAACTAGAGGTTGACTCCATTTCGCTGTGGAATGTAAAGGTACTGGGACCTTGTCTGGAATCTAGCAGGAAGTAAAGGAACAAAGGGTAAATTTGACAGGTATGTTTCTAAGTCTCTCCCGTAATAGGCAGCATGTTGTTCCTTAAACGCAAAGTTTTCTTATTTTCTCATTTCCTTTTTCTTTTTGGTTGAGCCACGAAATGATTGGTATGCAGGATTGAAGCAACAAATTTTGAGGTAATAGTGAAAAATGAGGATCAAGTGGAACTCTCATTTACTAGAAAGTGGGATTCCTCCCTTGAAGGCAAAGTCGTTCCATTGAACATCGACAAGAGGTACTCTGACTATCAATCAGACGCAGAGCATGCTATTTCTGAATACGGTTTCAGTTACATAATGATAGGGGAGATTATAACAAAAACAAAAATTTTTGAGTATGTTTTTCAGGTTTGTAATGCTTCGTAATTCATCAGGATTCTATACCTATGCAATTTACGAGCACTTAAAGGAATGGCCTGCTTTCATCCTTGACAGATTCAGGGTTGCATTCAAGCTGAGAAAAGACAAGTAAACATTTTTAATTTATTATTACCAGAATTCCTTTATGAAGCAAGCATAATAAAACTGAGTTTGGAAGGAATGAAAATGCATGCCCGTTTAGCCTCTACCTACTTTTAACTAAAGAACTACTTTTCTTCACTAGAGACAAGCATTAGATCTTAATTGCACGCCGTGTGAAAAAAAATTTAGAAAGTCAAGTACATGTTAATCAAAAATGTAAAAGGAATCACAAGCATTGACTATTTCGAATGCACAGGTTTCATTACATGGCTATTGCAGACAACAGGCAAAGATTCATGCCCCTGCCTGATGACCGGTTACCATACAGAAGCCAAACCCTGGCTTATCCAGAGGCAGTCCTACTTGTTGATCCACTGGAACCGGAGTTCAGAGGAGAGGTTTTTTTCTTAATTCCTTAGTAAAGTAATATTGGTTTCTTAGTTTTCAATACTCGTCTTGTCTTTTGTGGTTTGGTTCTTTTCAACCGTCGACGCCCTTGTCTAGGTGGATGACAAGTACCAATACTCATGTGAGAACAAGGACAACAGGGTCCATGGCTGGATTTGCACTGACCCGCCCTTGGGGTTCTGGCAAATAACACCCAGCGATGAGTTTCGATCCGCTGGGCCCCACAAGCAAAACCTTACCTCACATGTCGGCCCCACCACCCTTGCTGTAAGTTTATTTCCCTTTGTTCTCATTTTTTTCCTCTTCTAAATAGACTGGTAGGTAAAAAGACGAACGTCTTCCATGGAAATTATGTCACAAACCTTTCACCTAGTTTAATATTTTAATCTATCTTCTTCTTTTCCACCAAAAAGACAATGCTTTGATTACAATCCTACGACCAATTGATCAGGTTCTGCACAGTGTTCATTATTCAGGAGAGGATTTGTTATTGAAATTTGGAACTAATGAGCCCTGGAAGAAAGTTTTTGGCCCCATTTTTATTTACCTTAATTCTTTGTGTAATGGTGGAGGTGACCCATTCTCACTTTGGGAGGATGCTAGAAAACAGGTTCAGCATTAAAGATACTCTAATTTTATCTCGCAAGTTTAACACTTGTCTATTTACTTTAAGTTGCTAAAACATCACTTCTACTTTAGATGACGATAGAAGTTCAAAACTGGCCTTACACTTTCCCTGCTTCTGAAGACTTTCCACAGCCTGATCAAAGGGGCAATGTCAGTGGTAGATTACTAGTGAAAGATAGGTAATTTACCTGATCTGGGTTGTTCTGTTCAAAGTTGTACTTTTGAATCATTAAGTAATGAACATACATTTTCTTGTTTGCCTCCTGAATAATTTGGTCAGAACTCAGAACTCAGAAATTGATGGCTGTCAGTTTCTTTTTTTGTTCAATTGATCTAGATATGTTTGCGATGAGGACATACCTGCCAATGGCGCCTATGTAGGCTTAGCACCGCCGGGAGATGTTGGGTCTTGGCAAAGTGAAGTCAAGGTAATTTTTATTCTACACAGCCTCATGTAAGAACCAATAGTGCATGACATGATAACCATATAGCATAGCAAACCAATGCATTTCAATTGAAGGAAAATATGGGTTTATCATAATTTATTTTGATGCCTCCTGTCACATAACAGGGTTATCAATTCTGGACCAGAACTGATGAAGATGGCTATTTCTGCATTAATAATGTTCGGATGGGCAACTATAATCTATATGCATGGGTCCCTGGGTTCATTGGAGATTATAGATATGACGTTATCATCACACCAAACGCAGGTATTTTTATTTATTTATTTATTGTATCTTTTTGTCTTCGGAAACCTCCTAACCTCTTGTGATAAAGTATATTTTGAATTTTTTAACGTAATGCAGGCTATGATATTTACATGGGCCATCTTGTGTATGAGCCTCCAAGAGATGGGCCTACATTGTGGGAAATAGGAATCCCAGATCGCACTGCTGCAGAATTCTATGTCCCTGATCCTAATCCAAAGTATATCAACAAATTATATGTTAATCATGACAGGTTAGCTTCCTTTCCTGCGATTTTAAGGATTCATGTAGAGTTACTTGACATCAAAGTAACACGATAATCAAGCCTCTAGATTTTTGACGAAATCATCCAACTTTTATTGTGGTCATTCATTTCTCAAATATTGAAAAGATTACCCCCAATGAAATACATTTGAATAAAGCTGACTAATTAACTTTTGTATCCATTATTTGCATGGTGTTAAAAGTTCATTTTCATGGCAATTGACTTGTTCTTTTAAGCTTTAAACTGTGTCATATCTGTTTTTGTCATCAACTATTGCCAGATTTAGGCAGTATGGATTATGGGAAAGATATGCAGATTTATATCCTGATGGAGATTTGGTCTACACAGTTGGCGTTAGTGACTATACAAAAGACTGGTTTTTTGCGCAGGTCACTAGGTATATTCCTTCAACACTTTTATTATTCTAAATCACTTGTATTCCCCACTTAGCTCTTGGTTTTTAAATTAACATTCCAGGTTTAGAATCCTGCAAAATTAGGGATCTTTCTTTTGAATTGCAGAAAGAAAGATGATAATACCTATCAAGGAACTACATGGCAAATCAAGTTCAAACTAGACTGTGCATATGAGAGTGAAACATACAGACTGCGATTGGCACTGGCCACTGTACATGCTGCTGAACTTCAGGCATAGAATTTCATTGTTCAACAATTTTGATCTTGTTAAAGTTAACTTAAATGACTGAACTTCACAATGCCTCGCACTTTAAATAAATTTCTTTCTTTTATTTTTGAAGGTACGGATCAATGATGATGCAAGTTCTCCTCTACTTTCAAGTGGACAAATTGGTAAGGACAACACAATAGCCAGACATGGAATTCATGGGCTCTACCGGCTTTACAATGTGGATATTCCGGGGAATCTGCTTCTTGAAGGAGATAACACCATTTTTCTAACTCAATCAAAAAATGCTAGCCCTTTCCAAGGAATCATGTATGACTACATTCGGTTAGAAGGTCCTGCATCTTCTAATGGAAACAAGAAACCTTAATTTTCCTTCCATTTGAAAATTATTTGGGATTTTAGCACGGCTTTCAGCTGTCCTGGAAATTGATGCTCGAAAACAGGTTTGCATTCCTTGTGAGGTGATATATTTGGGAAGAACAAGTTTCTGTGAAGAAAATTATCAGGACTATGTTAGCTGTGATACCATTTGTATTTAATACAACAAGCTCATTTCTCAAATCTATAGTTTATAAACTCTTGTACTGATTTTCTTTCAAATATTACTAGTATGTTTACTTGTCTCTCTTCATTAGTCATCTTTATCAAGCACCATGTTTAGCCACCTATGAGGTTTTGAATGCTTAAGATAAACTCAATTCCTGCTTTTGCTTGGCTTGTTAGACAAAAAAGTTGAAATTTCATTCTGATAGGACCTTGTCGAGCCAATTGGATTCTGTTCTAGTTAATTATTGAGACAGCAAAGCACCCCCATCCATATTTGTGGGTAAAGCAAATCTCACACAAAATCTAAGATGTCAAAGCATGTTAAAAGGAGTGTCTTCAATGTCTAATTCTGTAAAATCAAGATGAAACTTACCAACTGCTATTGCTACAACCTAAAGAGATAAAGAAAGAATGCTTCCCTTAGTCAAAAGAAAGTAGGTGAAACAGATTCCTTGAAGCCTTTATCAACTAGCGTATCCAGGTGGGTTTTTGATTGTAGTAGACATTAAGTTTGACAAATGATAGCTTATATGGTTACATTTTCCCTTTCTATTTTGAAAATTCCAAGCTGTGCTGAAGTAAGTTCTAGAGCTAAGAAAGGCAAACTATGTCATCGCCAAGGGTGCAACTTCATATTCAAGATCATTACGTAATTTAATTAATTTCTTTGTTACTAGTTATTTATTTCGGTCCATATTGAATAAAATAGATAATGTTTCAGCATAACACCTTTGATTTCTTAGTACTTGTGGGATTATGCTTGCCACCCTGTCTTGTGATCATTGTGCCTTCTTTTGAAACTGGTATCAAATTGTACAAGCTTGTGGTAATTTTATCAAAAGCTATTATGGCCCTTATAGACTGAGCAGGGCCTTCTTAGCCAACTTCCTTGAATATTTTAAACAAAGTTCTGTTTAGCATTAAATGAGAAAATTGCTGCAGGTGGTGATGGATAATGGAATACTACAAGTGACAATATCGAGTCCTGATGGAATTGTCACTGGGATACAATACAATGGAATCGACAACTTGCTTGAAGTTCAAGATGAGGAAGTTAACAGAGGGTAACACCCCATAATATCACCACTGCAGCTTACCTGTCGTCCATCTACATTTCCTACCAAACATTATTCTTATTAGAACTCACTTCCAATGCCATTGACAGGTATTGGGATCTAGTCTGGAGTAAAACTGGAAGCACAGGGACAACTGGAACATTTGATGTGTACGCCCACTATCTCTCTTTTATGTACCAAAGCATTTCTAATTTTATTTCATTTCAGAAGTTAAACTGATAGAAGTTGAGAATGGACCATACAGGTTTAAAGGAACAAGTTTTAAAGTTATAGTAGAAAATGAGGATCAAGTAGAGGTCTCATTCACAAGAACATGGGATTTCTCTCTTGAGGGAAAGGTTGTTCCCTTAAATTTAGACAAAAGGTATATGCTTGCACCAATACAGTTTAATGCCATTCATTCAAAATGTTAAACAACAAAGGTGTTTTAAGACAATTTTGTTGTAATGATGGATTTTCAGGTTCATAATGCTTCGAGATTCGTCAGGATTCTACTCCTACACCATCTTTGAACACTTAGGGGAATGGCCTCCATTTAATCTTCCACAAGTCAGAATTGTTTTCAAGCTCAGAAAAGACAAGTAAACACATTGCTTCCATCTTCTTTTGTTGTTTGATCATGTTGTATGTTTAGCTTTTGGCTAGAGAAAAACTTAGATATTTGACTGCTATTAGTTTGACATGCTTGCAAAAGCTATGTCTGTCCTCCAAAATATTGAATACTTAGTACTCATGCAGGTTTCACTACATGGCCGTAGCAGACAACAGGCAAAGATTCATGCCCCTGCCTGATGACCGGTTACCAGATAGGGGCCAACCGCTGGCAACCCCGGAAGCTGTCCTGCTTGTCAATCCTTTGGAGCCGGAGTTCAGAGGAGAGGTACTTCTATTTAATTTAGTCCTCCTTGTGTAGTCAGTTAATACTATTTACTAGTAGAGAAAATAACTCATTAGGAGTTAAAAGCCGCAAATCAGCTATTCATTTACATAAAATATTTGGTCATGACTGATGAGCAGGTTGATGACAAGTACCAATACTCATCTGAGAACAAAGATCTAAAAGTTCATGGGTGGATATCCTTGAACCCTCCAGTTGGGTTCTGGCAGATTACTCCCAGCAGTGAATTCCGCTCTGGTGGACCTGTCAAACAGAACCTAACATCCCATGTTGGCCCCTATGCTCTTGCAGTAAGTGAATCAATTAGCTTCTTTACAAGCATAGGAAGTATTAGTTAACGTACTACACATGACAACATAGTTCTCCCATGTCTCAGAAATCATCTGATCTGGCAAAAGTAGGATTTTATCTCAAGACTCAAGTCAATGAACATTATAGATGATGATAACGATGATAGATGCGCCATAGATTGGTTCTATGGTCTTTAATGATGATATCTAATTGTGTCAACTTGTTCAAAATGATGAAACCAGATGTTTCTCAGTGCTCACTATGCCGGAGAGGATTTGGTGCTGAAGCTCAGCCCTGGAGAACCATGGAAAAAGGTTTTTGGCCCAGTTTTCTTGTATCTGAATTCTTTCTGGGATCAGGACAATGTCTTTTCCCTTTGGGAGGATGCTAAAAACCAGGTAGAATAACAAAATCATAGTCCTACCTTGTTTTTATTGTTGGTGGACAAAAACTTTTATAAATTGTTCTTCAGATGCAGAGGGAAGTCCAGAATTGGCCCTACAAATTTCCAGCATCAGAGGATTTTCCAAAATCAGATCAGCGGGGCAAAGTATGTGGCAGATTAACAGTTCAAGACAGGTTGTGTTTTCTTGTAGTGTGTAACTAGTTTCTGCTATTTTCTAGTACTAATGTCACCAGGAATCATCTCGAAATTTTTGCTGCAATTACTAGTCTACACCTCTTTCTTTTTTCAATTTCTCAAAAGAAGTTGGAAATAAACCCATAAAGCTATGAAAATATCATTATTTAGGTATGTTAGCTATGAGTGCATTCCAGCAGATGGTGCTTATGTGGGCTTGGCACCACCAGGAGAGGTAGGATCATGGCAAAGAGAATGCAAGGTGATCAAGTTCTTTCAGCTAGAATGTTTCTTAAATTTAGTCAATGTTGATCTGCTTTTAAATGACTGTAAGGAGTTAACAATGAATTTAAAATGATTAAATGCCTTAAGGTCTTGGGATCAAATTTCTAAACCACAAGTCCATTCCTTATGAACAAGCTTCCAGTTAGGGATATAAGAACATAGTGCCTTATTTCGAACGTTTAGACTTATGGAGTCACCAAATTCTTAACAGGGTTATCAATTCTGGACCAGAGCAGATGAAGATGGCAACTTCACAATCGACAATATAAGGACTGGTGGATATAATATTTATGCATGGGTCCCTGGTTTCATTGGGGATTACAGATATGATGTTGAAGTTAACATTACAGAAGGTCTTGATTTTTGAATCATTAACAAAAAGGAATTATAATGAATTGTTGTTGTCAATTGTATTTTATCTCTGATGATATGCTAGGCAGGTTGTAGCATTAATGTGGGTGACCTGACATATGAGCCTCCAAGAGATGGTCCTACATTATGGGAAATAGGCATCCCCGATCGTTCTGCAGCAGAGTTTTACATTCCCGACCCTGACCCTAAGTATATTAACAGACTTTATGTCCGCCATCCTGACAGGTTAGTTAATCATGTTGGTATATGCTCTCTTTGAACTTGTAGTAGGATGATTTCAAAATGATCCAGATGTTTGATTGAGTGAACTCAATTCGGCCAAATTTTGAAAAATTGGAAACTCAAAATGATGTGATGGCCAGGTATAGACAATATGGATTGTGGGAAAGATATGCAGATCTCTATCCAGATGGAGACTTGGTTTTCACAGTTGGCTACAGTGACTACAAAAATGATTGGTTCTTTGCTCAAGTTAACAGGTTCAGCTCTTCCAACTTTGTTTTGACTTGATAAATCACCTTGACTAAAAAAAACTGCCTCTTCAACAGGGAAAACAAAAGCCATTAAAAAAGTAACATTTTGGACTTCATACCTGTATTCTTAGCTAAAATTATTTGGCTGCATTACAGAAAGAAAGAAGATGGTACATATCAAGGAACTACATGGCAAATCAAGTTCATGCTTAACAATGTAGATTATACTGGAACTTATAAATTGCGACTGGCCCTAGCAACTGCACATCTTGCTGAATTGCAGGTATGCACCACTACAAACATGTCACTTTATATGGAACTTGAATTTAAACTTACTTTCAATGTCATATGACAGGTTCGGATCAATGATCCAAAAGCAGAGCCTCCTCAGTTCACAACTGGACAAATTGGGCATGACAACACAATTGCAAGGCATGGAATTCATGGGCTCTACCGACTTTACAATATAGATGTGCCTGGAGTTCAGCTTGTGGAAGGGGAAAATATCATTTTTCTGACGCAAGCAGTAAACACTGATCCTCTTCAGGGGATCATGTATGACTATATAAGGCTAGAATGTCCCCCTTCTAGTTCCGGCCGAATGGTCTGAATTTGTATATAATTAGCAGAACTTTACCTTTGGATTGCTGACTTCGTAAAATTTATTCACAAAAATGTCATGGATATGTTTTTAATGAGGTGATTTTTTTTTTATCTATGCTAGAAAAATTCAGCGGAAGTTATCCTTGATTGCTATATCTTGATTGCTATATATTTATTAGGGTTGGTAGCCATATCTGCCTCTGACGGATTTTGATCCGACTTGATTTCATAGAGTCAATTTTTTTTTTTTAAATCGAGTTTTGGATAGAGAATGTTAAAAAAAAAATTAAAGTTGAGTTTAGTTCAAATTTTAGACAAATTTAAAAAATTAATATTTTATTAATTTCAAGTTGGATCAAGTAAATAAATTTTTTTAAGTAAAGTCTAATTCGAGTTTTATAAATATAAAATTGAGTTGGATTTGAAGTGAGTGGATTGACCCGATCCGTTGCCAATATTTACCTTCATATAATTTGACCAGCTGGTTAGCTTCTAGCTTAGGTTAGTTCTTGCTGGGTTAAGGGATCCTGCAGAAGGTTTGAGATCTCAACGCTAATAATAATGCTAGTATTTAGCCTGCGCTTCCGCTGCAGGGTATTTTCTTTTCTTTTTTCTTTCTAAACAAACTATATGTGAACCAACCTGACCGGTTAGTTCTCTGTGTTGCAAATTTAATCAAGAAAAGTATTGTATAACTTCAACATGAAGAGGGTAGATGACTAATTTAAAATCTAGATCATTTTCTTTTACCAGGTTTAGGCAATACGGATTGTGGGGAAGATACACAGATTTATACCCTAATGGAGATTTAGTTTACACCATTAGTGTTAGTGTCTACAGAACTGATCGGTTCTTTGCTTAAGCTACGAGGTTTTCTCCTACTTATAGTTTTCTATATTTTTCTTTCACATCTTCAAAAATATCGGATTGTCTTTAGTTGATGTTAAAGAAGATGCAATTTTGTCATTTAAGGAAGAAGGATGATGGTAAGTATGAAAGAACCACACAGCAGATCAAGTTCAACCTCGACAATGTAAATCATAGTGGAACCTATAAAATGTCTGATACGACCCCAGCTTCTAGCAATTCCACCATGAAACTTTGCACATTTTTTCAAATGAAAATAAAATGTCTGATACTACATCAGTATATCAAGCTGTATACTAAAAGAAATGAAGAGATCTTCCATATATGTTTCTTTTCATTTTGATTTTTATTTGCTTTAGCAGGTATTATATTTACAGGAACCAGGTTGACAAAAACAAGGCAGAATCTTACAGTTGTTTGGTAAGAAGGCAACATGTTACATTAGTGTATGGTAATGTACTCCTATTACATGGATTTGTAGATTGTTTCCTTGGCTTTTTCAGTCTTATCAGCTGCTTCACCTGCATTTTCTGAGCTTGTAATTCAGCTTCTGTCGCCTCCGTCTCATTTCTTGCTTTCAGCTTTTTTGCCTGAACCCAAAAGCAAGTTAATTTGAAAGGGTTAGTTTCATGAACTTTGCTGAAAAGGGTGGTTCGATATGGCTTTTCGTTTCTTGCTCTCTATTGGCGGCGGCAGTAGCGCTGGTCTTCGAAGTGTTTAACGGTGGCGACTACTTTATCTCCTCCATGGCAATTTCTTAAGCGAACTCTCTTTGAGAACAGCACGTGAAGGCTGAAAGGAAAGGAAAAAGCAACCTCACGAGAAAGTTCAACACGTCCGAGCCTATACGTGGCAGCTTCCAAACACGCCACGATTAGTGTTTTTCCCTTTGTTTAGTCTCCCTGAGTGGCTCGCACTTTGCAGTCCAATACAAGATAGGCTCGAAGCCTGAGAGACTGGCTCAAGCTCAATAATCTTGACGACAGCGTTCCATAGGGAACCAACCCACCTCCAACGGCCCAATCCCATCCATTCAAGGGAAAACAAACTTGCTCATAAAAAAATGCATTTTCTACTACGTGAATATAAAAATTAGTAATAATTTTGTAGTACCTTTTAGAGTGGAGTAATTATTCTTAATAAAACAGTCTTTCATAATTTCACTAAATACATAAGTTATTGTCTAAATTTTTTACCTTTTATGCTCAAATCTTTATTTCAATTAATCTTCTACACCACTAGATAGCAATATATATATATATATATATATTCCATGAAATAAAACAAATTGCATCAAAATTTTATTCTTACTTGATCAAGTACATAAAATAGATGTGAAATTATATTCAATATTGGTCTAAGTTTAGATGATTCACCTCACCATTAAAAACTTATGTTTTAACAGAAACTTCAATGAGAATAATCAAACAATAAATACATTATTTTAACAAATTAAAAATTAATTAAATCCAAAAAATAAAAAATAATATTCTTATATATTTGAAAAAAATCCCAATATTAATCTCATTTAGAAAAAAAAGGAAATTCCCAATATGGATCAGGACATGGGCCGTAATTTGGGTCGGACAATCAAAGCAATAGGACCGGCCCAAACCAATTCAGAGAACTCTTTCCTACCGAGAAAGAAGGGAGGGGCAAAAATGTCATTCCATCTGCCCCAAACTGTCGCTCCTATATATACCCCCATCTACAAAATCTAGGTATAAAAATGCCCCAAATCTTCTCCGCCCAAAAAAAAAAAAAAAAATCTCTTTCACAAAACTGAACGTTAAATTCCTCGCACCGTCAAAGCTCCACAATTTCCAAACATCCACAATCCTCCTTAACGTCGCCTCCAAATTTCCTAATTTCTTTCTCCAAATTCAACTCCTAAATTAACTTTTTTCCGTTTTATTTTATTTTTAAAAATTTTTCAACATCAAAATTCGAGATTTACATTTTTTTCTTTTTTTTTTTAAGCAGATCGGGTGAATAATGGCGACGTTTGAGCTTTACCGGAAGTCAACGATCGGGATGTGCTTGACGGAGACTTTAGACGAGATGGTTTCAAACGGCACTCTCAGCCCTGAGCTCGCTATTCAGGTTCTCGTCCAGTTCGATAAGGTACTGTTAACACCTTGTTCCGCTTTTCTCTTTTCCTATATATATAAATTTTTATTTATTCATTAATTTGTTTATGCTTGTGTCAGTCTATGACTGAAGGCCTGGAAAGTCAAGTGAAGAGCAAGGTTAGCATTCAGGTATATTCTTTTTTTTATAACGAAAAAAAGAGAAGTTTTTTTGTTGAACTTTGTGTGGTTTACGGTGCTAATCTGTTGCTAGAATTTTTTTTGTCTCTTGTGGGCATTAATGTGTTGATTGCTTGTGTAAATTCATGGTCATATATGGTGATGATCTGCTGTTTCTATGAATAACGATGGTGAGATATTTTGTTTTGTCCAATGCTTAATATTAATAAGTGCGGTGTTATAAGCGAAGTTGATATAGTTTGATATGGTCCCTTGATCTTCCCATTCTCGAAGAAAGATAAATTATGATTTATGACCATTCATGAATGGTGAAAGACCCATGTATTTTTTACAAGCATAGGCAAGGATCAAAATCTAGCTGAGTGTTGATTTTGCTACTTTAATGGTACAAGTGTTTCATGTATGGTACCTGATTGTGGTGATTGGTTATTGTTTCATTACAATATTTATGTGTTGCACTTATAAGAAGGGGGGACTAGCACGCAAAACACATGAATTTTTTTTCCTTACTGATGCCTAGAAAAATATTTTGACATATTTTGGATTATTTAAGAATTTTGAATGGAAAAGGGTGTTTAACGTCTTGTTAACTTTTATACAAAGTTATTTGTTAAACCATAGCTATCTTTTGTTTTAAAAATGTTCTCTAGTACCAGTGTTAATGGTTAGGAGTGCAGGTTAAACACATCTCAATTCTATTTTCAAAGCCTCACTTCTTATGCAATTTTGGGTTATTTTGATTTTATTACAATTGCTAGAGAAACATTATCGGGGACCTGAAATAATAGATCTGCGAAAAGCTTCTTATTTTATAAACTTACTTTTTTATCATACATAATTATATATTTCCCTTTTAGTCAATTTTTCCTGGCTTCCATAACAGTCAAAACTAGTGGTTGGTGATGCCTTCTTTGGTCGCACATCAGTATGTTTTCTATTTTGTGTTACTTTTCCTCTACAGTTGAATTTTTAGCTCCCTGCTTCTCCTTTTTTTGGTCATTTATTATTTATAAATCTGTTATTTGAGGGCTTTTATTTTCTTATTGAAAAATGTTCAAATCAACACACTTTGTACTGGCATTGCAAAGCAAAACCTGTGGTGCTATTCTTATTTGAACACTGATCCTGTCTTGCATGTGCTGCAGGGACATCTTCACACCTATAGATTCTGCGACAATGTGTGGACATTCATCTTACATAATGCTTCATTTAAGAATGAGGATTCTCAGGAGACAGTTGGTCGGGTGAAAATAGTAGCATGTGACTCAAAGCTACTATCACAATGAATTGTCAATCAATGTTGTCTGATGTTAATGGAATGGGATGGTTGACTGAGACTGGACATATATTGTAAAGCCATCAACCTTTAGTGGATGAATTTTTCTTTCTACTTAATTTTATTTTTCTTTCTGATGATGGACAACGGTGAAAATTTTAGGACAAAATGATGGAACCTCTGTATTTATGACGAGAATGGTTTCTATTCCTCTGTCGATTTATTTCAGCCTTGCACCAGCTTGAATAGGATACGGCGGTGTTTGAAGTCAGTTGCTTGTTTGATCTCCCTTCTTGATTGAATTAATGTTTCCTCTTCCAGTCATTCTGTACATTTATTAGGCAAGTCGGCTTGAGATCCCACTGGCGTGCATGTTTATCATAGCATCATGTAACTATTTGGTTATCTTTCTAGAACTAGTGAAAGGATATTTTGAACAGAAATGTCGTCTTCAGAGCATTGCTTGTGATCCTTCAGACAACAAAATAGGTTCCAAGACTAAGATAAACAAAGGTTTACAAAAAGCTAGCAGATATAATCTACATTGCTTTTTGAAAAGCCCTTCTCTCTGCCTTCTGTTTCTATCGTCTTTGTTGGCGAAGGTGATTTCAGAATCCGCACTTTCTTCCTGTGGGAATCTATATTCGCAGGATGCATCGCTCTCCTAACAGCAGAGCTTTTGCTTTTAGAATTTCAAAGCGTGGCTCCAACCCAGGCTCCTAGCATCCGATTCTCTTCCATCTCTCACCCAAGTTTCCTTTTCTACACGAAATTCCAGCTCCTCAACCACTTCCAACAAGAGAACCTTACCTCGACGATGCTTAATTTCCATCTTCATTAAAATAAAGGTAAAATAAGGACGGCAGGAAACAAAAAGGGAAATTTTCCTAGCAAGAAACGAATTGGTGTCCTTGGTTCATTTGAGAGGAGGGTTTTCTATAATTTAACGGACCTTTTTCTTTTTGAGTCAGTAGTAAAGAAATAGATTCCAATCAACGAGAAGTGTGAATTTTGAAAGCAATCCTCCGTTGGTTAGTAAATATGTAGAGTCTGATTTGCTAAAATCTTTGATAAACAGAAGTTTATAGTTTTGCAAGGTCTCCATTCACTTAATTGAAGGTGCCTTTATCGTATACATCATAAGATGTGATGGATACTTTGCTGAATGATAGTTGTCAGATGAGTTGAATACTTTAACCTAGACTTCAGCTTACATCAACTATGGACCATGGACTCGTGTTTGAAGATTTATTAGCGATGGTAATTCAATGTTCCCTTCAAGAATCTCAGTCACCAGATTTTCACTTTTAAAGATACCCAAGCTTTTATGTAACTATGATTAGACAAAACAAAGAGAGTTTAATGCATATAAATAGGGTGTTTGTCCATCAGACATTGTCTTTCAAACCGATTAGGTTTCAATGTCTTTGTGACTAATTGTTATGGCAACCTCCAGTAGCGTACAGGTTCCTCGAGTTCTTCATTTTCAGCTCGATGATGGAATGCAACTTCAGGTTTTTAATTTCCATATTTTACGGATTCTATTACCATCGTTGTTGGTTCTCCTAAAATAATTGTTCTTTTGATCCTTTGCGTTTTCTGTAGATTAATGTCTCTGGATGTTCCAGTGGGCACAATGCAAGAGTTGAACTTCAGCTTAAAAACTGCACAAGAACTTGGATTTTTCACTGGGGTTGTGTTTACCATGGGAATTCGTAAAGCCAGCACTGAAAACCTTTCATCAATTCTATTTTTACATGGTTTGTTTGCACATCAAACAATCTGTTGAGATTCATGTGCTTCTACAGGAACTGGTATATCCCTGGTGAACATTCTTCAGGGGCAAAATCTTATAAGCAAGGTGCACTGCAGACACCATTTGTGACGGTGTATTTTCTGTTTGCACTTTATTCTCAGTAGTTTATTTGTACGTTAGTATTCTCAGTCACAAATAAGAATTCATTATTATTTTAAAATTTTAATTTGATGAAATTTCTGTTTTAAACTGCAGAACGGAGAGATATATATTGTCGATATTGAGTTACGAGACCCCGAGATGCATGCTATTGAATTTGTGTTGAAGGATGGAAGTCAAGACAGATGGTCAGTTTTTCCTTTCATCCATCTTTTTTTTGGGTGCTGGGGCTTTTGAGATGTTTGAAATTCTCATATAACTTTGCTTTCCAGGTTGAAACTAAATAATGGAAATTTCAGAGTTCAGATTCCTGAATATGATGCAAGTTTCCCATTTCCATCTATACCAAAAGATCTAATAGATCGGAAGGCATATCTAATTTGGGAAAGCAGAGGCGGACCCTAAAGCTCGCCAAAACAGCAAAAGGTGATTATGGAGCAAAAAACTGAATGCCTTCGTAATCACCTTAATTTTGAATTTATGCACAGTTTTTCGTTTCTTCAGGCTAGGAATCTAACTGTTGGATTCATCATAAGCTCTTTGCTATGTAACTTCCCTTTCCTTTGCAGCTAGTAAAGGTAGTTTTTTAGGAAATTCATAAACATCATAAAGTTATTGAAACTAGTGAAAACATTATGCAATGCATGTTCTGATTTTCCAAAAAGTTCTACCGAGGAAACAATTTGTTGTCTGAGTAATCTCAGATACTCTTCCACTGTTTATGTTACCTTCAGATCAAAACCCTTGGAATTTTGAAGATATTGTTTTCAACCTATACTTTACCTGTGGAATTTTTCTTACTTTATGCAACTGTTATCATTCCCTTTCTCATCTGTATATCACAATGTTTCTTGTCCTCCTTGGCTCTCTCAACTATTTGCTATTTAGCTTAGAAGGCCAATGCTTGATAATAGAGTAGCTTTGGACATGAGGTATGTGCTATTGCTACATCAGCCAGTGTCAAGTGTTCCTAGTCTGGGTACTTATATATATCATTGTTTGCATTGGTGTAGCAAGATTATGCGGATGCCTTAACAGAGCTTCAAAACCAGCTGTCCAAGGGAATATCCTTGAATGAGTTACAGTGTAGATATATGAATGCAAGTACAAAAACAAAAGCATGGGATGATATAGAGCCATCTAGGTGTGGAACACCATCATCTTACCATAGAAGACATGATGTTGAGAAGTGGTTGCAAAGGCAGTCTAAGGGGCATGAGAACAAGACTGGTCATTCTTCATCAACTTTGATGGATCTTGTGGAGAAATCAGTTGGAGGAAATAATGTGGTCTCACAGCAAAATTATTTTGTTGGCAACTATGAAATAGTGGTTAGTCTTTTTGCAATATTTTATTTTGTTGGTTGAGAGAAAATGCAGTGATGGGCATTGCCATGGTTGGACTCAGCTTCGTTCATTTATTTAATTCAGTGTGGAACTTTGATTCGATGATTAGGCGGTCAGCTCATATTCTTTTAGCCATTAATTATTGAATTGGATACCTATTACACATCTATAGAAGTAAGCCCAACTTCTTTTATTTTTGGAACAAGAGTTCCTATTTGCTTTGGTTTTTTTGTTTTTCATGTCCTCTCTAAAGTTGTAACCGGTGATTATCACATATTGGTTGATTTGAACGTGAAAGGCGCTGCAGTTCTTCACTGGGGAGTGTCAAAGTCATCAGCTGGTGAATGGTTGGTAAGATACTTGGTCCTTCATTTAGTAGGAGATACATGATAATGGAGTGCTCTGACACTGGAATTTTCCACCTGTATGCTTGCAAATCTTACGTGAACCCACCACCTGCTTTCATCACTAATTCCAGGCTCCTCCATCAGATATGTTGCCTGAAAAGTTAAAAATGGTTGTTGGAGCATGTCAGACTTATTTTACAGATACATCAATTAGAGAAGGATCCTTTCAGGTAACTTATTTAAAGCAGTCTTTCATGAGCCCTTGTTCTTACTAACAAGTTGTATTGATTAATCCCCCTTCCCCCCTGGGAAAAAAAAGTTGGTAGATGTTAATTTGCAGCGGAGGAAGTTTGTTGGTATTCAATTTGTGATCTGGTCTGGCGGGTCTTGGATTAAAAACAACGGGGCTAACTTCTTTGTAGCTCTTCAACCTATGCCACCAAGTGGGAAGGTAATATTATTATCCTGTACTGAATGATTGCTTATGTTTTTGTCAGTTTACTTTAAATATCATTGTACAAGACTACAAGGTGCCTCACTGCCTTGCTTTTTGCAATAGATGTATAAACATAAACTGCCTATGCACTCTGAGAAGGTTTTTCACGTGAAAATTGTTTTGGGTCTCTGATAAAGCACTGGCATTGTTAGCGCAGGGTATTATGCTTTATTTTCCCCATCTCTTAAGTTTGTTTGCTCAATTCCAGAGTTTCCGTTTGTCATGAAACCAGTCAAAATGATACAAGAAAATTTGTCAAGAAAATTAGTGCAGGGTACTATGCCACTTGCCCAGTTTCACAATCAAAGATGCCATTAAAACCACATTCATCCTTTAGCATCTGATGGAAGGATAGAATGTCCACAACAAGAAACCAATTGTGGTTGCTCAATGCTGGGCATCAAGGTTGAGAATGAATGGCTTAAACCGTGTGATCTTATGGCCTGATGCTAGTCATTAGATATTTCATATGGAAAAGGAAACTTGAATGATGAGCAGTTGACAATAACTACAAAAACCATTATTGGAGGCTGACTGCATTCAAAAGAACCATTATCTAGTTTGCTGAAAGTAATGAAGTAATGCATATTGATTTGATGACTATTTTGCTGAGGAAAAAATGAAGCTAAGAGATGCATTATTTTGTGACTGTGTTTTGACTGAAAAAGTAGACCCATGTTCATACTGACGAATGTAGAGAAGTAATATGCTTCTTGTTTGAGTTAACTATCTCATGTTAATTATTTAGCTTTTTTGTCTATTTAACCAGTATTCCAGATCACTGAAATTTGGAAATCCCTTTTTTGCAGGTTGATGGGTATGGTAAAGGAATTGTTAAATGGTTGCTTGATGAAATATCCCAAAGAGAAAAGGAGGCTGAGAGGTCCTTGATGCATAGGTAACTTTAAGAGATGAGCTAAGCACATTATAAATGAGCCCAAGCATATCTATCTTTTAGGAGTAATGTCATTTTGGAAACATCAGGTCCATCTCTCATCATCTTACAACAGTTGAGATGTTAGGATCATGATAATATGTCTTTTTACCTTGATTTTGTTGCTAAATAACCTTACTTATATACTCAATTGTCACAGTTTCAATATTGCAACGGAGTTGACAGAAGGTTGTAAAGCAGAAGGAGAATTGGGGCTTATTGGTGTATTAGTCTGGATGAGGTTCATGATATGCAGGCATCTTACATGGAACAAGAGCTATAATGTGAAAGCTCGGTAAATTTGCATTTTCAATCGTAAATCAGATCTTATAAATATAGTATTATACAAATTTAGATGTGAACATTTTATTTGAAGATGTATCAATATATATTGTCTGCAGCTTATTTAAGTAATATTAGCCTATTAAATTGGTATTTCACTGCAATGTTTGCAGTGAAATTAGTGAAGCTCAAGACAAGTTTACCAATTTACTGCAAAGAACATTTTTAAACCAGCCAAATGACTGAGATTGTGAGGCTAATAATGGCATGTGTTGATCGTGGAGGTCAAGGTGATGTTGGGCAGAGAATTCGTGATGAAATACTAATGATTCGGGTATATAAAATTATTGTCTTAAAGAAATGGATTGTATGTCATTGTTGCAAAACTAATTCTCCTGCTTTTTCATTAGAGAAATAACGATTGCAAAAGTGGCATGATGGAGGAATAGCACCAAAAGTTGCACAATAATAGTAGCCCAGATGATGTGATTATTTGTGAGGTATGTAATTAATTATCAAGGCACTGCTGTTAGGTCTGAAGAGGAAAATCAATTGAAGAAATTTAAGTGATCTTTCATATATACATGTCACACTAGTCATAGACATTTTGCCTTAAATGAATTAGGCATATTCTGCATTCTTTATCTCTATATATAAGGTGAGGAGAGTTTTGGCTGTGACCTAGACCACTTGAAAAGATAAGTCAGAGTGTTACATTTGATTGGCTAAACTTGTTTACATAAAATCCATTCTGTTAATGGAATGTTCTTTTATTTTATAACAGGCGCTATTAAATTATTTGAGATATGGTTTTAAACTTGATGTTTATTGGAAAACATTATATGCCCATGGTCTCACAAAGGAAAAACTTGCAAGTTATGACCGTCCAATTGTGTCAGAGCCTCATTTCAGGATGGATACTAAAGAAGGTCTCATCCGTGACCTTACAATGTACTTGAAGACATTGAAGGTATCAATACTGTTTGGACAAAGTACCAATATTTTCATGAATTTTTAACCAGTTTTTTCTGCTAACATTCACTGAAGTAAATTGAAAGGAACATGTGATCATGATATTAACTTTATGAAAATTCATCAAATTTCACTTAAATACACTGAACTAGGAGTTGAATTTTGCAAATCACTTTGATGAAAATTGACTAGCAACAAGAAATCAGCTTCATAACCTGGGAATCTAAGTGACAGAATGCCAGTGATTAAGGCTTGCAACTAGAAATTAAGATCTGATATAAATCACACTGTTCTAAGTATCTTCAAAGAGTTCAAATAAATTACCATGATCCACAATCTCTGTTGAATTTATCCTCATTATTTATTGTATGACCTAAGTAATTTTCAAGACAGATCATCATTAATATGGTGTTTTTAAGTCAATAATAGCTTCAATCTGGTTGTTGTAACATTCTCATTTAGTAGTTACTATTTTGATGTTCCTTTAGTTATATGTCATAAATTACATTTTCTTTGGTTTTTTTAGATTTTATAAACTAGATTTATTGTTCAAAAGTTCTTATTGATTGTGACAACATGTAACAGGCTGTTCATTCTGGTGCAGAACTCGAATCTGCCATTGAAAGTTGTTTGCCTTCCTCGTTCACAGTTAGTTGCAGAAATACCAGACATGACATTCTTTGGTGTTGTGCGTTTTCCATTACCTTAACCATCAATTTTGAGTTTTTACTAACTCAAATCTCCATCTTACTGGTACTCAGAATCAAGATTTTGCAAGAGCAGATAGAGTTAATGTGTCTGGTGGTTTATCACTAAAGTTGTAGGTGACTGTCTCTTTCTTTTTTCAGTGAGCTTATGCATACCATCTTTCTTATGGGTCATAAGAGTCTATTTATGGGCATTCTTGATAAGCATGCTATTCATGAAATTTCAATTGATAGATCAGTATTTTGATCCAAGAATTGTTTCTTGTAATCTGGATTATATTTTGTTTTTTGCCCTGTTCTTTCTTGAAAAACTTTCTTATTTCTCACCCTAAAAAATGTAAATGGGAATGACTTTCTTCATTGTTGTCAAATTCCAGGACTGCCTGAACTTTGTCAAAACTCATATTGGTGATGAAAATATTGGCCCTTTGGTGGAGGTTATGATTTGTACTCAAAATAAGATGGAGCTTATTGTATTCAAATTCTAAGGTGTATTTTGCATGACTAAATATATTTTTTTTGCATTGCAGAAGATACTAGAATCCCGCATTGAGATCCACCCTCTCCTGCTGGCAGCTCATAGATTGGCAAAAGAGCTGCTATTCCTTGATCTCGCTTTGGCTTCAGCCATTAGAACGACTATAGAAAGGGGACTTAAAAATCTCAACTTCACAAATCCGCCAGTAAATTTTTTTAATTGCCTTGTCTGATATCTTTGCAAACCAGGAAATATAGAGTATGAAGACAACCCATTTATGCTTTTTTTTTTTGTCTTATGTGTGAATCAGGAAATCATGTTCTTCATTTCCTTGGTGCTTGAAAATTTTTGCCTGTCCACAGTCAAGAACAAAGATTTCATTTACTGTACAAAGGTATATTATTTTTTGAGCTTTATTGGAACATGAACCTTTTCATTTTGATGCATTAAGTTGTGGCTAACAGCTTTCTTATTTACTTAACTACAACATTAAACTTTCATAGTCTCTCAAGTCAGGATTAAATAATGCTTGATGCTTATTTAGTAGTCACTAAATGTCATTTCTTTCAACCTTCACAGGACTGGTATCGTGTCTCTGAGTCGTACAAACCCAGTGATGCTCAGTGGACATTACAGACAAAGGCTATTGTTGACCGACTGCAAATAGTACTTTCTGACAGGTCCCTCATCTACCAGAATAAGATCCAGCCTAGTGCTGAATATCTTGGTAAATTGCTTGGCATTGGGAAAACAACGGTATGTGATTAACTTCGAAATATATCTGATGATGAATTTTGTATGTTATTTAGTTCTCAGTCTCAGACCATCTGGCAAGTTATTTTGCCAAGTATTTTGCATCTAAAATTCTTTAGTTCTGCTATCAGATAGATACTTTTACGGAAGAATTAATGAGAGCAGGATCTGCCGTTGTTCTTTCTATGCTCATTAATCGTTTTGACCCCAACCTTAGAAACAGTGCAAATTTAGGATGGTAAGTTTTCAAAAAAACCTAATTCTGTGCTGAATAGCCATGCAGTTGGAGCAATCCTGGTTTCATATATTTGAACTGAGATCCTTTCAGCTTTATAAGTTTTTTCTATTAGTAGGAGATTGCTTTCTATTTTATGGTCTAAATTTTCTGGCAGCTTATGGTGTTTGCTCTCAAATATTTGCTGAGGTTTGTGTCTAACAGTTGGCAGGTTATCAGCCCTATGGAAGTTTGTGGATTTGTAACTTCAGCGAATGAGCTGATTACTGTTCAGAACAAAGTTTACCAAAAGCCAACTGTTATTATTGTAAATAGAGTAACAGGAGAAGAGGAGATTCCAGATGGAGTTGTTGCAGTGTTGGCATCTGATATGCCAGATGTCCTGTCTCATGTGTCTATTAGAGCAAGAAATAATAAGGCATGTGTCTTTTGGATTGCTTATCGCAATATTTTATTTACGCCACTGTCAACAAAAAGTGAATATTTTTACCTTGTATGAAAGTTCAAAGCTGTGTAGCTTGAGAAAGTCAACATATGTAGTTTACTTGCTGGAGCATGGCGCAGATATGCTTTGCTACATGCTTGGATCAAAATACTTTCAGGAATCTCAAGCTGAAGGAGGGACGTGCTGTATCTATACAACTTAAGTCCTCAAATTTGATAGTCAGGCATGCTGTGAAATAACTGCTTGATCAGTGATTTTATACACCTCTTCACCAATATTCTAATGAACTTTTTTATTCCCCCCACATGCAGTGACATCAGTGGTTCTAACTTATCTTTAGGTTCCCTTGTTTCTTCCTCAATTTCTCAATGAGTCACCCTTAAAAGAAAGACCTTCTGTGGTAGATATACTCTTTCAGTCGAAGAATTCACCACTGAAATGGTAAACTCATTCCAATTTGTTGTTCTGGGTAGAATTATTGAGCAGTTTGCAGAATATATTTGAGTGAAACCAACAATCTTCTTTGATTCAGGTTGGTGCTAAATCTTGTAATATAAAATTTTTAAGAGAAGGTTGCCATCATGGATCAGGATCCCAATGTCAGTTGCAATACCATTTGGAGCTTTTGAAACTGTTCTATCACAAGATGTTAATAAGGTACATTTTATTAGTTAAGATTTAATTTTCTTTATGCAATTTTCTGTTGTTTCTTTTAGGTGTTCCATTTCTCATTTGTTCAATTTTTTTTAAATGCACATGAAAGACTGAAAGGAAAAGGTCTATATGATGACCTTAATTTTATGATAGTCTCAACTGCATTGAAGACATAACTTCCATCAGTTACCCCACTTATGCGATCCTGGCTTGCCTCCTTTGGACTTGGCAGTAGGTCATATGTAGAGGAGTCCTCCCTCCATCCCAACCCCCTTTCTTCTTTTCTTCACAATGTCAAAAGGCATATGCAATAAAAGGCCAGTCGGAAACCTTTACTGTCTTGTTTCTTTAATTATAGGTCTTCTACCTTCATCTTCTTGAATATTACTCAGATATTCCAGTCTTTCCTATTTCTTCCACAGCTACACATCTAGGGATCAAACTTCATTTCAGTTCATAGAATGAGCCAGCAGAGATAGGCAGAACAGTAACACCTGACACCATATATAACTGTCTGGTAACTTATACTTGCCAAGGATTTATGACCAAACCAAACAATCTGCTATACTTAGAAAAGGCATTGTATTTCTCTAATTATCTTGTGGATTTGTTATCATGTTACTTGTATTCTGAAGCTCTATAATTTGTGTTGCAGATGAGTATGCAAGTTTGATATGAGCGCTTTGCTTTTCTTTCTCTGAGTTTTGATACTTCATTTTTTCAGGATATAGGAAACAAGATTACATTTCTTCACAAACTTGTTCATGGTGGTGATGTTTCCAAAGTTCAAGAAATAAAAGGAGCTATTCTACAAATGACTGCTCCTTTACCCTTGGTAATTTTATGCCATTGGTATTTAACTGTGTTATGGCATGTTGCTGTCAAATAGATCTTAGGTTATAGTTGCTTTTATAGCAATCCTGAAAATGAAGCCACTTCCCACAAAATTATGAATCATGATATAGGATCAACCTAGCTCATTACAAGTTAATTCGGTTTAGTTTTTGTTTTGACTTATTAATAGTAGCATAATTCAAATTGAGTTCATGGAGACATGTTCCACCTAAAAAAAGCCATTCCAGCAAACTTGAATCCGTGAATAGCCAGCCTTGTTGGCAGGTAGCAGTTTAACGGTGTTTATAAACTCCGTTAAATGATACAAACAAGCCACTAAAAGCACAATTTCCTTTAGTGCATACTTCTTGGAATTTTTTTTTTTTAATTTCATGAATATAGGTTGCTAACGTTTTATTATAAATTAAAGTTTTTTTTAATGTCATCATATAGATGACTGAATAATTACCCATCATTTCTTTAATAAAGATTTTCATCTTAATATGGATACAATTAATCAATTAATTAGTAGTTTTACTCTAATAGACTAATAGATGTAGAAATTCAATCTTAATATGGAAATAAATAAATAAATAGTCAATATTTTAATTTAATAAAAAAATCATTAATTCATGACAAAATAGTTAATTTAATAAATTATCAAGAGTATACATTTCACTCAATATTTGCATTTTCGGAATTTGTCTTTTTTAATATAGTCTAGATATAAATATAGATATAGCAACATAGATAATGTCATATTTACTAATCTTTCAACTGAGAGTTTTGTAATTCTGAACTTTGTGGTAGATCACTGAACTTAAGAGCAAAATGAAAAGTGCTAGAATGCCCTGGCCTGGTGAGGAGGGTGAGGACGGGTGGAACCGTGCTTGGCAAGCAATAAAGAAGGTTGGGACTTCTTTTCGCATATAATGCATTAATCATATGCTTTCTACTGATCATTTTTCCTTATCCTGTTCTCTTTTGTTACTGGTATCGTAGTCAATTTCAGATTAACCAATAGTATTTAACAACTGTTGTAGGTTTTTGGTTAGTCACACTCCACTCTTGACAGTTTTAAGGGTCTTTCGAATTATGATTCCTCGTTTCACTAGGTTCAACTTAACAGTTGGCTAACAGAAATCTACCAACTTTTCATTAGCCTGGTTGAGATGGAGGGCGTTCACTAGTGAGGGTTGGAGTATATTTATAGATATTACCTTGACCTTCATATGAAGAATGCAACCAAGAGGCTAGATTTTGCTTCTAAACCTGGATTCAACAAACACCGTACTATCTTTTTATCCAACATTGCACCGCTCACTTTTCACATTGTCACTTATCCAGACAGAACTTTCTGTTCTGATACTATTTTTAAAATGGGAATCATAAAGAACCATGATTCAAGTTTTGGACATCAGCTTAACCAAGAATTTTAAGGTGTAACGTCATGGTTTTTCCTTACATGTTAATCCTTGAAAATTATCCACATTTTGCTCACATAGGATTCCACACCTGAATGTAAATAGTATCAGTTGAATGCCTTTGTTATGACTTTCGATATTCAGTAGTACTAGTAATAGAAGTTTTTGGAAATATAAAACATAAAAGCAGTCATTTATTGAAACGACTTGTGCCCTTTTGAAGAGACCTTTTTTCCACTATATGCAGGTTTGGGCTTCAAAGTGGAATGAAAGAGCGTATGTTAGTTGTAGGAAAGCTAAACTTAATCACGAAGACCTTCGCATGGCTGTATTGATTCAAGAAGTCATTTGTGGTTATTATGCTTTTGTTATTCACACAAAAAACCCATTATCAGGGGACACCTCAGAAATATATGCAGAGGTAAGCCTCCCGTTTTGGTCCTATATGAACTTAGTGATCTCAGAAGTATTTTTCATCTATCTTCTTGGGTTGAAAACAGATTGTGAAAGGTTTGGGAGAGATATTGGTGGGTGCATATCCAGGACGTGCTTTGAGCTTCATTGCGAAAAAGAACAATCTAAGATGTCCTATTGTAAGGCAGTTTCTTTGCACCTCTTATTTGTCGATGCATGCTCCATTTAGTTCTGGATAAACATACTGGATCCATATGCAATTCACTTTTGTTTCTAAATTCCTCTGATCAAAGTTTTAGGAGGCTAAAGAAAAAAATTGCAATAACCTCTACAGGTTACTGGTTATCCAAGCAAACAAACTGGACTATACTGCAAGCCGTCTATCATTTTTCGATCTGACTCAAATGGTGAAGATCTTGAAGGATATGCAGGTGCCGGGCTTTATGACAGGTTTGTTCTGACGTAAGTTTTGAACAATATTTTGCAAAAAACAAAAGGATTATAAGTAGTTGATCCTTTTGATTTATGAACTGGCATGATTAATATTAGAGAATCACCTCCTTATATCTTGCACCCAGAGGATTCTCCAAAGAAAGTAATTCTAGCAAACAAACCAATCCATCCTGTTATCCAAATGTGAGATCATGATAGTATATTATTGATTAGGAGCTCATCAAATCTGTTTCAGCATGCTTATGCTTCCGCTTCACATATTTTCTTTCAAGAAAATGCCTCTTAATTTGTATTTGTTAAATTTCTCAGTGTACTTATGGATGGAGAGGAAAGTGCGGTTTTGGATTACTCCAGTGATCCAATGATAGTTGACAGAGCTTTCCAGACCTCACTCTTCTAAAAAATTGCAGAGGCAGGGAAAATTATAGAAACCCTTTATGGTTGTCCCCTGGACATTGAAGGAGTAGTAAAAGATGGAATGATATACGTGGTTCAGGCAAGACCACAGATTTGATATTCATGAGCACCCTGTAGTCTTCCAAATTGAACTTTACAAGCTGATGTAAAGTCATGAAATTCTAATCAAACCACGATCTGACCTTCTCCTTGATTTGTTCAGCATCTTTTAAATGCATTGATCTTTTTTTTTTCCATTTTTAGTAGTAAACACATAAATTGGTTTCCATAAATCTGTGGACTGTGATCAGCAATGGTGGAACTATAAATCCCAGAAAAATCCTGATGATAGTGCAGAATATTTCTCTTGCATGTATGATACAAAATACTGTTCACCCTTTTCATTTCTTATAAAATCCAAGCTTCACATTCATGCCATTTAACTTGAATTTCAAGTTACCTACATGAAAAGAGCATTGCCAGCCCTGTTATTTTCCTGGTCATTTCAGTTACACTGTTCACCCAAGGTCTAGCCGCTGATCAGAAACACCCGACTGATCTACACACCCATTTTTGGCAACGGTTCCCTTGGGTTCACAGGTCAGGGCCAGCATTCCCACCTTTACCTCCTCTCAAATGGCCCAAGCCGCCACACAACCCTAAAGTGGGCTGGTGCTTGGAATCCTTCAAAACAAGAGTAACCAGCCTTCAAGATATTTTACATTCTTTCTTGAGACGCAAACCTTCCATTAGAGTAGATTGTTTTGCTGCTGTTAAGGCAATCCAGGATGATTGCTGCAATCTTATTTTCAGTCGATTCAACAATCCATTATTCGCTCCTCTGTTGAAGAAGCATTGTTCTAATAAGGGGGAAGCTGCACCATCACCAGCTTAGTTCAGTTTCAACCCTTGGTAATGATCAGTTGCCAATTGGAGTATACAAGTTGATTTATTTTTATGTTTTTTTTAGTTAGGTTAATTTGATGCTAGGATTTAAGATTTTATATGTTTTTTAATTAGAATGAATGTTCCAGTGAAGGACACGTCTACACATTTTTAATCCTTATTTAGTTAAAGAGATCAATGTGGCTTTTTTTTTTCTCTCATAAAACTGGATGCAAATCTTCATATCATATATCATATGCTTTCAAAATCATGTATTCCAATAATCTCATTCTCCGTATCAAAATTCAATCAAACTTTTTATAAATACCAAAATAAATAAAATAAAATAGAACACTTGATTCTAATATTAAAATAAGTGCCATGAAATTTATAAAATGAGAGATAATTATTTTTAATTTTATAAACAATAAATAAACTTACAATTATAAAAAAATATATGTTGTTTTACTTTGGAGACCTCCATTGTATTTTGATTGGTACCAATATAATTAGAATTGTTTGAGCTTTATAATCAAAGTATCTTAATCTTAGTTTTGCCGTATGATTGAATGAGTTCAAGCAAACATGGAATGAAAAATGATATAATGGGAATTTCAGTTGAAATTAAATTTATCGATTATTTTATTTAGAAATAAGTTATAAAGAAAAATAAAAAGAAATAGTTATGACAAATTTTCATTTGTTTTTATTCCTTTTTAATGGAGTAATGTAAAACAAGCAAAATCTAGCACAATTAGGAGTGAAAAAAAATTAAAAATTTTGAAAATTGATTCGAAATTATAATATTCGATTTAATTTATATTTTTTTATTTGATTTATATTAAATTTATATATTAAATATATATATTAAATTCGAATCAAATTTTTGATTAAGAGATAAAAAATTAAAAAAAATCGAACTATATTGAATTTACATATTTTTAGTTTTTATATATATTTTAATTTTTTTTAAATAAAATTAATAATTTTATGTCAAATTTTACTTAAACATATTGAAATTTTTATTAAAATAATATATAAAAATTTAAAAAGTTAAAAATTGATAAATCAAACTGAATTAAATCAATAAAATTTAATTCAATTTAATTTTAATCGAATGACGATTTAATTTAAATTTAAACTTAAATTTTTATAATATCATACAATATATAAAAAAATCAAATTAAATTTGATTTAAACTGAATTGTTATAACTCTAAACTTAACATTCTTATATACATATATAAAAGAAGTTGTCGTTTGAGATAAAAAAAAAATTTTTGAAATTTTGATTAATTGAATCTTATTTTTAAGTAAAATTTGATCTTAGAATGAGTTACCCCAGACTCCGATATTTTTCAAGATTGACTAATCAAAGCTAAAGTCATTTGAAATGAAACCCACGCCCATTTTTAAAGTTACTAAGCTACGATCCCATTGACTAAAGCTACCGGTTCGGTGAGCTTTAGACCATGCCCTTAAGCCATAGTCAAATAAAATTTGGGAATCCCAAGAGTATAATTTTTAACATGTCATAAAAATAAAAAATATATATTGTTTTTTTGTCTAATTTTATTTGTTTTTATTTGTTTTTTAGTTTCAGAAAAATTAATTTTAATAAATTTTATATTAAATTTTTATTTATTTATAAAGTTGATAGTTCCATTTTTTGAAAAAAAAATCATATCATTTTTAATGTCAACAAATTAAAAAAAAGAAAAAAAAAATTTTGAATATAACAAAAATAAAGAAAATGAGACCAATGATTTGGGATTTTTTTTTTTGAAAATAGTTTTTGAGATTATAAGTCGATTATCTTGGACTTTGGCTTTGAACGTAACTATTTATTTTAGAGCCATGGGTTTCTTAAGTCTCCATTATTCGATAATAGTTACTGTCATTAATTGGGCCTTTGTGATTTAGCAACATTTGATAGTTGACTTTCAAAATTTTAAAATGAAAAAAAAAAAAAGGTGAAACAAATTTGTGGTTAAGAATGTGAACTGATTTAAAGATAACAAACGTATAGTCCGGATTCAAAAGACAATTAATATATATATTTTTATTATAATGATTTCATTTTCCTATTCTGCAAGATATTATCTAGGAAAATTTGGGTCAAAAAATAAATCTCTAATTCAATTTCCACTTCTCAAGTTACGATGTGATGGAATTCAGGCTAAAAAATAATCTTATCTGAATTTTATCAAAATGTGATGAAATTCAAGTTAAAATATAGTCTCAATTGTATGATGGGTGCATTTTGGACAGTATTTCGTGGTGCAATTGAAGCTATAAGTTTTAAAGTTTATTTAAATAGATGATGAAATTAAAAATAATGATAAAAGTAAAATTAATTAATATAATAATAATATTAAAATTAATGATAAGATATATATTTTGATGTGCATATAATGATATGAATTATTATTAAAAATATTAAATTAAAACTTATATGTAATAAAAAATTTAAGTTATTTAAATTTTATAAAATTAATGAATAATTAAAATTTTTTTAAATTATTCATATGCAAATAATGATTTTATTAATAAAATAATTAAAATTAATAAAAATGATAATATCATATTAAATAATATATTTATTCTATTAAATTAACAAATTTATTTTATCATTTTTAAAAAATAAAATAAATTATAAAGATATTATTATTTTTTCAATATAATTACAGAGCAAAAAAATAAAATAAAAAACGCAAATGGGTTTTGGATCACTAGATGTTAGATCCAAAAGCTCCTATCACTCAAAGCTTATTTTTACATTGCAAATTGATTATCCAAACGAATAATTCATGAAACAGGCATAATTTTTCATTAAAAAAATGAAATTTTAATGTGATTGCGTTTCAATCCAAATGAAAACCTTAATTAAAAGAAAAAATGTTCAATGATTCATGATTTTTATAGTAATTGACTATTTATAATATAAAATAAAAATAAAATATATATTTAATTATAATAATTAATTTTTTTTATCAAGCAATCAAATATCAAATCTAATTTCATTATCACCGTTTTATATATATATATTCCAAATTTAAGTATATATTATATTATTAATTATAATATTTAATTTTCATCATTATAATAATTAATTGTCCCTAGCAAACAAGGCATTGTTAATCTTGGTACAATTAGAAGAATGAAAGAGCAAAAAGTCTCTGCTCACTTATACATTTAAGGTACATAAAAGGTGTAATGACCTTTACCTTTAAAAAAAACAATACTAAAAGAAAAGAAAACCTTACGTGAGAAGGAAAGGCAGAAGAAACGACACATTCATTTAAGAGTTTAGCTTGGAATTTCTGTGTTTTGTTAAAGTAAAAAAGAATGGCCAAATTGTAAATCTTGCCAAATGAAGAAATTTGATGAAGGGAAATTTTAAATGCAACATAAATTTTGCTCCTTACAAATTTTTTTTTATTTTTTGAAATTATTTAATTATTTTTTAACAAATTTTCAAATATTCATATTCGATTACTTTTGCTAAGCTATATAATTTTTTACAAAATATATTTTTAGATAATGGAATTGAAATCTTAAGAAAACTTATAAAATTAAAAATTTTATAAATTGTAATTATAAAGATTTTATAAATTGTAAAATTCAAAATTTATTGCCATTATAAATTTTTATACTCACTTTTAAAATGAATCATCGGAGAAAAATAAACAAAGAATAATATATTGATCATTAAAAAAAGTATATTGATATCCTACAAACAAATTAATTAAATTTTAAAAAAATAAATGAAAAAAAAAAAGAGAGACTAAATGCATTAGGATTAAGACTGACGCCAACAGTTAATCACGGAATAAAGGATTCACTGAAAATTTGTATCCCATTTTCATGATATCATGGATGAGTTATATATATCATGACGAATTCTTCAGAAAAAATTATGTATTTCACAGAGGAATTTGATAAGTGAAATTATTTAAATATATTTTTTATAAGTTTATAAATATTTATATATGATAAGTTTTATTATTTTTTAAAAATTTATTTCCAAAAAATCACATAACTTATTGGGAATTAATTTTTAAAAATAGTGAAAATTTTTAAAAATTACAATAAGAGAATTCTATTAAAATTTTTTATAAATTAATATAATAAAAAAGTTGTTATTGAAAAAATTATAAAATTTAAAATTAATAAAAAAATTAAATTTACTATTTTAATTTTAAATAAAGAATAAATTCTTACGATACTCTAATTAAATATTTTATCTTTTAATGTTATGAACGAATTATTCGATCAACATGTAAGGTTTAAAATTTTTAAAAATTGTACAAGTAATATTATTGAATATTGTATAATTTTGTCAAAGTATAATATACTAGAAATTCATCTTAATAAATAGATGAAGAGATTTTTTCAAAGAGTTTAATTTCATAAGATTTATTATAAAATTTTAAAAATCGTTATAAAAAATAATTATTAAAAAATAATAAATTTAAATTTATAAAAAATTAATTTTAATATTTTATTTTTAATTTAATTATGAGCTCATAAGGTTTTAATTTTTTCTAAAATCAAAATAGTACAAATAATTTTGTCTTAATTTTAAATTTTATAATAATAATTTTTTTCATTATATTAATTCATAAAATTTTTAATAAAACTATCTTTTTAATTTTTCATAAATGAATTTTGAATTCTTGAAAAATATTATAATTTTTTTAAAATTCATTTTTTTAATAAATGATATAATATTTTGAAAATGAAATTTTGAATACTTATAAAACTTATCATATTATATTCAAAAACTTGTGAGAATGATAATTAAATAATTTTACTAATAAAATTTTGAAATAAAAGGCTAAAAAAGAAAAATAATGGTATATTTAGAAGCAAAGAGAAAAAAATTCGGGAGAAAAAGAAAAAGAGAAAACTAAAAGGGCCATAAAAATAAAAAATCGAGTTTCAAAATGACCCCTACAGCATCAAAGCACTGTCCGTGTCAGCTGCTTTCTTTCTCTTGCAGTATATATAATATAGATTCCATTTATTTAATATATATTTTCCTTTTACTTCACTCCTTTCTAAAAATTTCCCCTTATTGATTGACCCATTCGATTTTTCTTCTCAAACACCAAATAAAATCCCTCTTAAAACTCAAAATTATATAAAAACCGAAACCAAACAAACACTTGAACCAAGCAACCC